AAATTAAAAAACCTGTTACTCCTTCCCTACAAAAAGATAAGTCCTTTCACTTCGGAGTTCCGAATGACAATGAAAACTGAACGATAGGTGAACGCTGAACGCAAGGTGAACGCAAAGTGAACGGAACGAAGAGCGAACGCTGAACGCTTTGTGAACGGTGAACGCGAGCGCACGGTGAACGGTGAACGCAAAACTGTGAACGGAGAGGGAACGGTGAACGCACGGTGAACGAACGGTGAACGAACGGAAAAATGGGAAAATAGAACGTTTCAGGGACTGTATCACTCACTCCCCTATAATAAAATAAGCTTTGGCTAGGTCGGGTAATAATCCTTTTAAAGACTCGGGCCATCCATCTTCAAAGGTAGCTTCTCTCTTTAAGAGCAGAGCATAGGTTTCCTCCCAACCGAAACTACTTTTCTATAATTTTAACAATTCTTTTTTTAAGGTTAGCATAAAGTTAGGTTTTTGGTAAACTTTGTAAATTTTTGAAATGACAGTAGGCGTCTTTGAGCTCAACTACTTCTTTGTATTGTATATAGATTTGAACTTTTTTATCAACTCTTTCTTTTCTTGCTGTTGGGGAACAGTAAATTTTGCTAAGCATCCACTTTGGAATGGATGACAATCCACATGAAAACTTCCTAAAAATACTTACATTAAATTGCCAAGGATTAGGGGATATGAATAAAAGGAGGGATGTCTTCAAAATTTTAAAAGGAAAAAAATTAAATGTGTATTTTCTTAAAGATACACACTTTGTTGAAAAAGATGAAAGCATAATTAAAATATTATGGGGATATAAGGCTTTTTTTAATTCGTACAAATCAAATTCACGAGGAGTAGCTATCCTCATTAATAATAATTGTGATATGACATTAGTTAATGAATATAAAGATGACAATGGCAATTATCTTATTCTAGATGTAACCATAGACAATCTTCCTTTTTTGTTAGTAAATATATATGGACCAAATTTAGACACACCAACCTTTTATACAAATCTTTTAAACATGATTCAAGATTATTACTCATCACAATATGTGATTATAGGTGGTGATTTTAATCTGATTTTAGATAAGGATCTGGATTCTATGAATTATAAAAACCTAAATAACCCTAAATTAAGAATGGAAGTCTTGAAGATGATGGAGACACTAAATTTAAAAGATATTTTCCTTGAAAATAGTCCAAATTTAAAAAGATTTACCTGGAGAAGAAAAAATCCAATAAAACAGGCAAGACTTGATTATTTCCTAATATCAGAATCATCACTCAATTTGGCTCATTACGTAAAATTTGAAAATAGCTATCGTTCAGATCACTGTCCAGTTGTCATGGGTGTTAAAACAGATGAATTTCTTAAAGGGAGAGGGTTTTGGAAATTAAATAATTCTTTACTTGCTGATAAAGAATATGTAAATCTCATAAAAGAAAAAATTAAAAATATTAAATTACGATATGTCTGCCCTGTCTATAATTTTGATAATATTGACTCTATTGAAATTGATACACTTCAATTTACTATAAGTGATCATTTGTGTTTAGATACATTACTGATGGAAATAAGAGGAAAATCAATTTTTTTTTCAACTTATAAAAAAAAAAGAAAATAGCTGAACAAGAATTGCGATTAGAAAAAGAAATCTTAAAATTGGAACAGAACTTGACCCAAGAATCTACTGAAGAACTAGAAAATAAACATGAAGAATTAGAGAACATTAGAAAAATCAAATTTAAGGGTCAATGTATTGGGTCAAAAGTAAAATGGATAGAAGAAGGAGAAAAACCTTCAAAATATTTTACCAGTCTTGAGTCAAGAAACTATCAGAGAAAAGTTATACCTAAAATTGAAAAGGAGGATGGAACAATTATTTTTAACCGATTTGATATTTTGAATGAAGTCAAGATGTTCTATGAAAATCTTTATAAAAGTAGGGAGAATGTGGATTCTGGAAGTATTCATGACAAATTAAAAATATATGATGTCACTAAATTAAATAAAAAAGAATCAGAAAGTCTTGAAGGCCCATTGACCAATTCTGAAGTTCTTAATTATTTGAAAAATATGAACAATGAGAAAAGTCCCGGACCAGATGGTTTTACTTGCGAATTTTTCAAATTCTTTTGGCAGGATATAGGTGCCTTTATTACAAGAGCAATAAACAACTCATATGAATTATCACACTTTACTGAATCAAATAAGTTAGGTATAATAACTTGCCTACCAAAACCAGGAAAACAAAAACAATTCTTAAAAAACTGGCGCCCAATCAGTTTGTTGAATGTGATTTATAAAATAGCCTCAGGCTGTATTGCTGAACGATTGAAAACTGTATTCAATAAAATAATAAATAAGGACCAAACTGGCTTCTTAAAGGGAAGATTCATAGGTGAAAATATTAGACTGGTTTATGATTTAATGCATTACACGGAACAAAAGCAGATTCCAGGCTTATTAATGTTAATTGATTTTGAAAAAGCTTTTGACACTATATCATGGAAGTTTATATACCAAACATTAGCCTTTTTTTTTAATTTTGGGAAGTCAATTAAAAATTGGATTCAAACTTTTTATAATGGAATTAAATCATGTGGCATACAGAATGGGATTTCTTCTGACTACCTGTTCCCTCAGAAGGGATGTAGACAGGGGGACCCATACCTTTTTCTAATTTGTGCTGAAATTCTTGGGATTCTGATTCGAAATAATAAAGACATAAAGGGAATTACAATTGATGGGGAGGAATATAAACTTTCACAATATGCTGATGATACTTCAATTATATCTGATGGATCACCACAGTCTATGGATGGTATATTAAGAGAACTTGACTATTTTGCTCTTATATCTGATCTGAAAATTAATTTCACAAAAACGAAAATGGTTTGGATTGACAGTAAGAAATTTTCCAAAGAAGTTTTTCATCACTCGAGATGGAAGTTGGATTGGAATAATTCTACTTTTGATCTTCTTGGTGTAAAATTTTCTATTAATTTAGACGAAATGGTTGAACTGAATGACCCCTCAAAATTAAATGAAATAAAGCGGTTGATAAAACAATGGCAGTTAAGAAAACTTACTCCAATTGGTAGATTAGCAGTGATTAAATCCCTGATTATACCAAAAATGAACCATTTGATATTGACTATTCCGAAACCTTATAAGGAATTCCTAGACGAATTTGAAAAAGATCATATCTTTACTACTTTTTATGGGGAAGTAAAATTCATAAGGTTAAGAAGAATGTTATGATTCAAGATTATAGAAATGGGGGGGTTGAAAATGATTGAATATGTAGATTTTCTATGTGCATTAAAATCAACATGGATCCGAAGACTGATTAACTCAGATACAAAATGGCTAAAACTTCTTGAATCAGAATTAGGAATGAAAGTAGAATCTCTATGGGTAAGAGGTTTAGACTTTACTGTTAATATATCTAAGAAAATAAGTAATAAGTTTTGGAAAGAGGTTTTACTTAACTGGGTAAAGATCATTGACTCTGGTCAAAATAATATGCAAATTCTTCATGAACATATATGGTTTAATCCAAGAATTAAAATGAACAACTCATCCATATTTTTGAAAAGTTATTTCGATGCAGGCTTTGTTTTCGTAAGAGATCTGTTTGACTCTGGAGGAAAATTTGTAAGCCTTGAGTACCTCATAAATCTTAATGTAAGAACAAATTTTGTAGAATATGCAGGTTTAAAAGTAGCTGTTTTAAAAACATTGAAAAGTATTGATATTGAAAAAAGAGAAACTGGACCTTTTATCTCTAATTCACTTTATATTTTTTATAAAAGTACAAAAGGCTGTAAAGACATGTATAGCTTACTCATTAGGAAGAAAAAGGAAGCAATTAAGGCACTAGAAAAATGGGGAAATAATGGAATATTATTTGGAGATATAGACTGGCACAAAATATTTGAACTTCCTTTTAAAGTAACAAAAGAAGCAAAATTTCCGTGGATGCAATTTCAAATTCTGCATAGGATTATCGCAACAAATAAATATCTTTACAATCTCAAACTAATGGATTCACCTGTATGGTCCTTTTGTAAACAAGATGTCGAAATGATTGAACATTTATTTTTTGAGTGTTTCTGCGTTAAAAAAAAATATGGTGTCACATTGAGGAATGGTTTATAAATAAGTTTCATTTTATCATTAATTTTGATAGAAAGGATATACTTTTTGGCAAATTCAACAACAAAAACATGTTTAGACTACACAATATATTAATACTTACTGTTAAGCAATTTATTTTTGCTAGTAGGTTTAAAAATGTGCCTAAATTAAGCATCTCAATGCTAGAAAAAAATATTGTGGATATAATATTAGTTGAAAAAGTTATACTTTTAAGAAACTGTAAATTTTCAGAATATGAAAAACATTGGAAAACTATTTGTGATATGATATAATGTATTGATTTTTCTCAAGTTTATTTACAAATGTACAAGTATATTTTAAAATACTTAATACTGTTCCCCCACCTCACTTTTTTGCACCCTTTCACCCCCTTTTTCCTTTCTTTAATTTTATTTCTGTATATAAAGCTTTCACAGTGAAGATTCATATAAATGTACAATATGTCATATACAATTTAAATGTGATTTTGAAATGCAACACACATTTACTATAGAGAAAATGTATTTAATATAAAGTATCAGGCAGTAGAAATGAAAGTATGTATTGAATGTTAACTAATATATTGTATAGTCTGTATAATTATGTGAAAGCACCAATAAAATCTATGAATTAAAAAAAAAAGAGCAGAGCATAGTTAGGGTGATGAGGAGCCGTCTGGCTCCTTATCAACATCAGCCTTGACTGAAGTGTTAAAATATTTTTTCCCTTTTTTATAACCCTTCATTTTGGGGTTTTCCCATAAAATAACAACACACTTGAAATACAGTTTTTTTAATAAAATAAGGTAAAGTGTTAAAATCTTCGATCAATTGTCTCTTATCATAGACAATTCTATATTGTTTTTCTAAAGGTATTGTCTTGACTTCATGTTGACGGGTCCTCTGTATTTTGTAGGGATACGAGACTTGGATTTCGTTTCTTTCTTGAGCATTTTTTCTAAAGTTTCTGGTGACACGATATCGGAGGCCCGATAATTAAGGGTCAATCCTTTGACCTTACATGCGGAATTTCCCTTGTCTGTGAGGTAAGCATAATTTTTTGGCCCTCCTGACATGAATTTGATAATGTGGTCCCCGTCTAATTCGTCGGTCCATTCTCCTAAACTGTTGCCAAGGGTAGGATTAAATTGTCCCTCCTTATGTTGGTATATGATACTGTCCGTATCGAAATAAAGGACCCGATCTCCCAAAGGTTGTAAAGTCTCGTAGAGGTGTAATCGGGCATGAGCTGTGGTAAAACAGGCCAGTACCACGTTTCCGAATGGACACTCTTCCACAATTTCCTGCTTCTCTTGATAATTGACCAGCATCATGTCAGATTCTGGTTGCTCTTTATTTTCTAAGAGTTCTATACTTTTAATGTCAATGGTCGAATCTTGTAAGAGTTGTTGTAATTCCTCCTCTTCAGTCAAGGATTGAGTTTTAGGTAATAACAGGCGTTGAGCGAATTTTCCCCACAAGCAATTTAAAAAGAGTTTGGCTATCGTTCTTCGCACCGGATTTTTTTCTATACTTAACAGGACCATCCTGATACCTTCTCTTTCTAATACTTTACGAATGTAATCTAGTTTCTGTTCCTCCGTCTGAAAATCAGGTGGGAATCCAGAAGCTTCCTGTTTGATCTTTAAGAAGGTATCGATGTAAGGTCTGGATAAATCTTTACTGCTTTCTGGAAAATGCCGAACTTCGTAAATCCACTCTGAGCTATATCCCATGTCCAGGGCTTTATGTATTTCTGTAGTCACCCAGGTGCCCGTAAGACTGCGTTCCTGGTCTGTGTGTTGACATCGATGTTTAGAGGTAGAGTCCTGTCGTTCCGCACAGGTTCGACATAAGGGAAATAATAACTTGCCTCCCGTACGATAAGATAAAACGGGGTGATAGAGACCTTGGGGTGGTAAGACCCGACAGTGAATGAGACCGAAATAACTTCTTACGTCCTGGTAGTCGTCTGTTATGATCTGAGGATGGCCTAGGGGAAAAGGTCTGTGTTTTAGTACGTAAGGATATAAGGAACAGACGTCCACATATCTCATGTCCCCCTCGTCACAATATAATTTAGTCGCATTAGTCCGGCCTCCGTACAGGGCGTCTCGGGGGTTCAAAGGATATGGAATGTTGAGACCTGATACATAATTCTGTAGAGTTACATCTCTTTGCACTTCTTGATCGAATTCGTGCTCCCAGATGCTACGGAGGGAGTACCCCATTTCCTCTAAAACAGAACTCCTTTTTAAAGTTTCCTCGTGTAATTGTTCATAGGTAATTTGGGTCCGGTGAGGATGACTTTCGGTCTGTAAATTAGGATAGCAAGTGGGGCATCCGTGCCAATGGCATCCGTAAAATTCGTACACGGTATGAGTGGTTTCTTGGTATCCGTCGACGGTATAACTTCCGATCTTGACTTCTCCCCCGTTTCTTGCATGCTGTATGTTGTGTCCGCTCGGCATGAATCCTCGACGGTAGGCTAAATTGGCGGCACTGGCAAAAGTGATGGATTCTTGGAAGGGGTCTACATGGACTAAGCTCTTAAGTGTGGCTCTAAACTGAGCACAGCATCGTCTCAAAATATCGACGTTAGAGACACAGTACTCTAAAAATTCCTTCTGAGATTAAACACTTTTCCGGCCTGCTGATCGTACCATTGGTAAAATGCCTGTCGTCCATTAATAGTCATGTCGTCTGGATTGTAGTAAGCTGCCGGTGGATAAGGCCCCACGTAATTCTGGTTCTGTTCCGTATTAAAAAAGTGTGGAAAATATCTTTTCTTCAGTTCGGTGAATCCGAAAGCAGAGGGCATCTTGGACAGTGCAAAGGGTAAAAAATTATAGGAATCGATGAATTTCAGTCCACAGATTTGCAATGATAAGATTTTACTGCCGTTCATGATGACGGTAGGTTTCAGGCAGGCGGAATGAACCAGGTAATTTAAAATAAACTGTCCGTCGTATCCTTTGAAATTGTGGGCGATGATGATGGCCTCGTCGTGTAATAAAGCGGAATTCTTATTTCCTGTAGTGGGTTGTAATAACCAGTCTATGAACTGCTTTAAGGTCTCTGGCCCTCGAAACACGTGTTGACGGGGTCCCATGTGTTGACAGTGAGGACAGGGATCTTTTATGGGTAAGTGACCGCAATGTTGACATACGCGGTGTGCCACACACAGGTTAGGGACCTGGATGCCGGTTTCCTGCGAACATTCGAAATCGAAATAGATGTAGAACTGTAAAGTCTCTTTGCCCTTCTTTTTTTTTTCTCAGGCTTGAGTTGAACGTAGAACTGATGATCGGGGTCTACGGTTTTCTTACAGATCTTACACTGTTTCTGTCCTTTGCATTGGTGATGAGCGAGTAATTTTTTAGACATCCATTTCTGACAGTGCCTACATCGTCCCATTAAACTGTATACGGTGGTGGCAGTATTGTTACTGTGAGGCTGCAGATGATTTTCATAGCAAGTCCTACTCTTAAAAAATCCCTGGCACTTGCTACATTGAATGCGGCTCCCGTCTTGAAGGCAGGGAGTGTTAGCTAAACAAAAATTACATCGGTGAGGGCAATGGGTACGATGGCGTTCAATATGACTGTAGCCCACATCGCAATGATCACAATAATAGGGATTCCCTGTCACACCAGGCATAGATATGATGGCATCGTAATGCTGGTCGTTTAACAGGACATTCAAACAAGTTCCCTCTCCGTAGCCGTTGTAAACGGGCTCTAAACTGAGTTTAGAGGACGTGGACTTGAACTGGAATATTTTCAATCGATAGCGAGGGGCTAACACTTGTTGTAATTTCCCCCATTCTTCGGGTCCACAAGGCTGATGGATATCACACCCAGCTTGTTCCATGAGGGCTATAGCTTCTCGTTTCTGATTTAATGATTGAGTATCTCCTAGTCTCATGTGTTTCCATCGTATTTCCCATTCGGGGTCTGGATGTTCAGGTTTTTCACTGTATAACCGGGTGACCACCATAGCTCTAGCTAAAAAAAACTTATCCCAGGGATTGTCGATCTCAATGATAGTTCTTTTTTCCTTCTTAAAACTCTCCTTATTCACCATCAGATGTTTGGTTTTGTCTCCACCACTCCCTTCTGGATACTTGACCCGAAACATGTTGAATTCCATGGCCCCGTCTCCCAGTTTAAAATCCTGCTTGGATTGTTGAACGGCTTCTATTTTGTCTAAAATGAAGTCCTCGTTTAAATGTTTACATTGAGTAAACTCGTACCAAATTTTGGATTTCAGAGAAGGGTGGCGTATGTTCAGGCGTAGGTAATCGTTAGGATTACACTGTTCTTTATATTTGACATTTTGCAGCATGTCTCTAAATAATCGCCGAACAAATCCCTGTTTTCCTCCTCTGGAAATTTCTTAAAATTCACACTGTAAAAATCTTCATGCGCTTTAAATTTTCTGGAATGCTTGACTTGATTCAGTCTCACTTGATAATATTGGGAAATGGCCTTTGGCTTCTGGGGTGGATGGGCTGGTGAGTATGGTTCTTCATCCGACACAGTCTTTTGTTGTTCTTGTAGGGGTTGGGCTCTCTGCATTTTCTCTAATATTCTCGCATTTCTTTTTCTGAGTGCTAATTCTCTGTGTTTATTGTTGTAAATAATTCTTTCTAACTCTTTCGCCCGTCTTCTCCATCTCATCAGTTGCTGGGTATGTAACAGTTTTTTTCATAGCAGAATCCATGTCGACAGCTGATGGAAATGACAACAGAATGAGCTTCAAGTCAGACACATGAAATATTTATACAGTGTATGATGTCATAATGCCTAGGTAGCTGTGATTTGAATCGCTGCCAAGTTTATGTATTCATAGTATCTGGGTTTTTCCAGGTGTGTACTGAGAGGGTGAGGGTTTTTCCAGGTGCGTGCTGAGAAAGTGGAATGGGTGCTGAGCACGTGCAGGTTTTTTCATATCTCTGACCTTGACCCGGGGTTGCACTGGGTTGACCCAGCCATCCCCCGGGCCAAAAGTGCACTCAGTTGACCCAGCCATCTAGACGCCTTATACTACTGACAATTTTTCCATATATTTCACAGATGAAAAACAATATGTCTATCATTATCTATCATTTCTTATTTAATATTTATTCTCTTTATGTTCACGTTTAAAAAAAAAAAAAACAAATAAATAAATTGAAGTAGAATTCTAGGTTTCTCAAAGCCATTCTGTAAGGCAATTAGCGTACGTATTCCTTTGTTGTACTATCGGTAAATACAAATGTCACGAGGATTCCCTGACCAAAGACAAAAGACGCGTGTGTTTACGCATACAAATGTATTGCAATGTAAGGAAAAAAAATGTTGGCCATTGATATGCCTAAGAGATGCTGCTCGTTCTTATCCTTAAAGCGCTGATATTCTTTGCAAAACATTCTGAACGTGGCACAGACTACCATATATTATGTACATTGTATAACTTTAAAGAACTAAGTCCACGAAGCATCAAAAACGGCCTTTCTCAATAATTAATATTATGTTTATTATAGATAATATAGAATTTTGCTATTCATTACCGTTTTCCTTTTTTAAATATCTATTATACTTTTTGAAAAATAGATATTGCAATATTGCAGTGTTTTGATAGAAAAAGGCAATAGAAACGTCATTTTTTGTAATGTAACGTCACGTCAAAGAGCGATGAAATGACTTAAAGTTTGCAATTACTATGTAGAAATATACGAATTTAAGACTTGAAATTAAATGACTGGGGATAGATATTTATTAAATCAACACCATTTAAAGCAATATGAGCTGCATTTTTGAGAATTTTATTTTGCTGTTACAATGTGCTGTTATGATAATTCTGTATGTAATTTAAACTTTTATCATCAATTAGACTAAAATAAAATATTAATTTTATCAGAAGAAAGGTTCCTGTGCAGTGGAATGTAAAGTATTATATAAGAAATTAATATTGTACAGGACGACAATAATGTAATTTTGCTTCAATGAAAACTTCTAAATAGTTCTTCCATCGCAGATATGAACAACAGAAGTTTATAAATGTTCTTTTTTTCTGTCATTGAAATTGTTAATTACAATTTTGCCACAAAAATTTCGGACATAAAAGTTGCAGCTCATATTGCTTTAATTTAGAACCATAAATTTAAAAAAAGCAGATAAAAGAGTTCATTTGATATATCAATTCTGACTGGATAGAATTGCAAACATCTTTTCAATGGAAAATGACTACAACTGCGGTATTTTTAGATCAATGAAATAGTAAATATTTGAGCTTTTAAAAACCTATATCTAAATAAATTATCATAGAGAAAATAGTCAACGGAAGTTAAAAGGATATATTTTCTTAACATTTGTAAAAATAAATTGAACATCTCATCTTTTTTGTTCACGTAAAAGAGAAACAGAAAGGAGTTCGTAAAATACGGAACTCATTCAAAACTTGTTATTCCTAAATACAAAATGTTGTGGAAATAATTGAATTATATTTACTGCAAGAAATCAATAAAGGTAGAAATTTGTGTTATACTTGATTATAATTTTGAATGTTTATAAACAAAGAGAGTTCATGTAACATCAAGATAAATTCTTACATTATACTGTTAAACAACTTTGATGAATACGCATGCGAGATATATCCGCGAGATTCGCACGTACCCCAAGCTCGCGGATATTTATCTTCACGAACCAGCCAATCGCTAGGCCATATTTTATTCCCGTAAAATAACAAGTGTAAGCTGGACAGTGATTCGTGACGTGTTGTAAAATGGAGATAAATAAATGATGTTTCTGTTTTTCTTCTCATAACTTATCAGTTTCTATTTACCTATAAATGTAATAAATTTAGTATGTTTTATTGATGTATTGCTTAACATTCACTACTTTCAATTTCATTTTCACATTTTGATTTTCATGTGAGCAGTATTGCGTATGTAATGCTCTTATACGTCAAGATAGGAAGTGAGATACATCTATACAGGGATTAATATTTTGCAAATACTCAGCGTAAATTTGATTTTACACGAACAATTTTTGAAAGGGGGGAGGGTCCAGGTCTGTGCCACAAACACTCATGCATAGAATCACACCACAGGCACTTCAAGCCTGTAAAACAAGCAAAACAAAAAACAAAAACAAAACAAAAACACCTGTGCACCATGCTCTGAAATGCTATTTCCGTGGAAGGGGGGGGGGGGGCTTCCTCTAACTATTCAGTACATTTTTTCTTCCAAATACTTGAATTTTTGCATTTTTACCTTCCGGCAACAAGTAATGGAGGGGGTATCCAAATCAAAACTTACATATTAAAACTACAGCAAGATTATTCTCCGTAAAAGTGAGCCCCCTTTAAGATCTTTCTCTTCATTGAAAAAAATATCTCCATAATATAAGGAGAGAAATATATTCTCTAATGCACACTCCCTTTCACAGCGTTTTATGTTTACATGTACGTCTTAAAGTTAGATACTTCAGAAGATTGTCCAAAAATTGCATAGCTAAAAGTTCGGCGGAATTCAAAGTGAAACCTTTCATGTTACCTGTGGGTGGTCGGGGCCCGGGGCCGGGATTGTGAAGGTACACGGAGGGAAGCAAATACGCGAAACATTACATAGAGTACAGAGAGAGCAGATATTGAAATACTTATCTATATATATTCCCTTAATGGATTGTGCTTAATTTTTTATCGCTGTACAATTATTTGTACAAGGGAGGTGCTGGTCAAGAAAACTTGGCAGAAACAATTCATATACAAGTAGTTTACATGCACACATTTTACTCTTATTTACAATATCATAACAGTAACGATTAAATAATTCTGAATTTTTTTTAAACATATTTCAATTCCCTTTAAATTCCTTCTCTCAAATATCATTTTTTTTTTTGTTTTTTGTTTTTGTTTTTTTTTTAGCTTGTCATTTATTTTTTAATTTGACATCCCACTTGCACTTCATCTCACTCCTTATAAAAAACAATGTCAAGGGTCATATTTGTAAAATATGCATCTTGTTTCTGGAAACATATTTGAAATGTGTTGAAAGCAGAACTCATCCTTTCTTTAAAAAAACGTTACTTTTCACGTTTTTTTGCAGGCGCATAAGAATTATCATGC